GCATGAGGATGTGCAAAAAGCTGACATTTCCATACTTTTGTTAGCAGGTAATTAGCAGGAAGTGACAGAGATGGGATTCACGCTGGTCCCTGGGCCCCTGCTCTCGACTTCCATGCTGTACTGCCTCTTGTGAATAAATCTGACTGGTGAAGAATATTAATCTTTTCAATGAAGACACAGACTAATATTTCCTTAGATTCCCTTTCCTCTGCTCCTTCCCTGCATCTCTCTTCTCTTCAGGTTGCCATGGAGTCGTGGCTCCGTCTTCTGATGACATCTTCAAGTTGGCCGAAGCCAATGCCTGCTGGAGCCCGGAGGAACTGCTCTGCATGGAGGATGACACGTTCACCAGGAGCGTGGAGCGGCTGGGGGCTGTCCAGGGTTTCAGCCAGCCTCAGCTGATGGCCCTGAAGGAGAGGACAATACAGGTAAAGCCCACCTCAGGGAGGAAGCATTAAACAGAGGGAAACAAACCCCCAAACCAGCCCCAGTGTTTCTGAGCACAGAGCCTCTCAAGGAGTTTTCACGTACATCGTCTTGTTGAAATTTCACTGCATCGGCTCAGTGATGTAGCTGTGATCTCCTCATCTGAGGTACAGGGAAATTTCCAGCCTTCCCTCTTAGGGCTTTGGCAGAGATGGAATGAGATGGGTCTTGGCATCTAGTGGATGCTCTGATGCTCTGACCAAGGTGGTTTTTAGGAAGCTGCTTGCAACAGGTTTTCTTAGAATCTGTCGCAAATTCATTTGAAAATATAGCAGAAAGGGGTAAAAAGTGGACTGAAAATAGTTTGCCATCTTTAAAGTGTTCCCTTTGAGTGACTTGTTTTAGCTGTTAGGATTGTTGTGGAATATCTAGTTACCCTTGTGGGGTTAAAAATTAAATCACTTAAAATTATATTTATGACTGTTTCTTATATGAATAATCCAAGTTTACTATGGAAAAGTCATAAAGAAGAAAATCAGTCATCATCTTTGACCCAGAGATAAGCACTGTTGATATTTTGGTATATTCACCTGAAGCTTCCCAGACTTCTGCATATGTGTATAAAATAGTAAGATATTTTGTACATATACTTCATGCATATTCACATATATATGTTACAAAAAATGGTATCACACTCACCTACTATTCAGTAACTTGCTTTCCACACCCAGCAGCATAGAGTGCATATTTTTGCATATCAGAAATATAAATCTATATCAATATTCAATATTGCAATATAATATTTTATTTTATGGCTGGTCTTTATTTAGCTAATTGTTAGACTTTTAGATTGTTTATATTTTATAAATACATATCTTTGGGCACTTGTCTCATTATTTACTTAGGCTATTCCCAGACGTGGAATTTCTGGGTCAAAGAGTACAAATATTTTAAAAGCTTTTGATCCATATAGACAAATTGCCCTGTCAAAAGCATGTACCAATTTATGTTCTCAGCCACAAGGAGGGTGTCCTTTACCTCATATTTCTCCAGCATCATAAATGGTCATTCTTTTTACTTTGTCAGTGTGATGAGCCAGCATGGTCTTTGATAGTTTTAAATGTACATTTCTGAAGTGTTTCATTTTTTGCTTTTTTTTGGCAGCTGGTTGTTACAGGGATTGAACCCTGAACCTTGCTGTTATCAGAACCATGTTCTAACCAGCTGAGCTAACCAGCCAGCCCCCTAAATGTACATTTCTTTCATTATAACTGAGAATAAACCTTTCCCCATCTGTTTACTTCTTCTTTTGTGAATTCCCTATTGATGTCTTTTGTTTATCTTTTTTAAAAAACAAATGTAGTCATCTTTCTCTTATTGATTTACAAGAGCTTTATATATTAAGGATATTTATTGTATGACTGTTATAAAATTTTTATTTA